AGCCAATTAGAGGGCAAACATTGCAACAGTAGATATAGACAAAAAAAGCAATGACACTGTAGAGAAAAAGATAGAGAAAAGAAGGAGCAGTTGGGATGCTTCTCGTGAACCGGAGCTGACCGAGGCCATCAGTCAGAATTAAAGGGCACATATATGTCAAATGAAATCATGGAGTACATATCAAGATAGGAAAAACGTGAGAAAAGGGAAATTATTAAATTGTACCAAGACATAGTGGGGAGTCATGGAGACACAAGAAAGAAAAACAATCGATAACATGAGTCCAACTGAATGGATTCAGACAGTGATGGTTTTACCATATATCTGGGATCATCTATATTTTACACTGCATACTTCAGCCAGTCCCAGTGGCAGATTTTTTTTAAACAGAAAGTGTTTTACATGCCTTTTAAACCTCATAAATTACTCTGCACCAAAACTTTGTTGGGAAGTACGCTCATAGCTGTCCAATTAATCTTTTAGACCACTTTTACATGTGCTCCAAATGGACTTTATTTTCTGAAGAAAGCCAGGACATGTTGCTGATAATGTATGTGAAAGTGAATAACACTGAACAAGGCTGAAGGCTTAATGGGGATTCAGTGTTTCTACAGCCAGGTAGCCCTGAGGGCTCAAAGAACCAGCACCAGAAGACACACTTTTCGTAGAAAGGTTAAGAGGAGAATCAATGAATAATTAATGTTGCAGAAGCTCCCTGTACACCGGCTGATTTCTGTTTGTAATGCCAGAGAAGCAGACCTAAACAAAGTAATTGAGAAAAGGTGACATCTTTGGAACTGCAAATTGATGGAAAATATGTTAAACTTATTTCACCCCTTTTTTCCTTTTATCCAAGCTATTTCAAATTCTGGCTCAATAACTGCCTTTTGTGATTGTATTTTATCTGAAGCTTTCATACGCCTTTCATGCCCGCAACAACTTTAAAAGGAGGTGTGAATTAAATTCTCATTCTAAATAAAAACTAATTATATAAACATCTAAAAAGAAGGAACACGGAAGTGAGTTTAGTCAGGCAAACAAGCAAATTTACTGAAGTTATTAACCCTTGTCTGTTTCATGGTTTTACCACGGTGTATAACTTTAAGTAAATACTATACACATATGTAGAAGTGCACAAACTCTAAGTTAAAGTCATATATGCAATTGTTTCTGTCTGTTTGTCTAAAAAAAAACCTACTACTGGAGCTTTGTTTATGCATCCATTACACAGAAAGAAAATCTGAAATCCTAGAGATGAGATGTTTTTATAGAATCCTCATACAGTGGGGCCAAAAAGTATTTAGTCAGCCACCGATTGTGCAACTTCCCCCACTTAAAATGATGACAGAGGTCAGTAATTTGCACCAATGGTACACTTCAACTGTGAGAGACAGAATGTGGAAAAAAAATCCATGAATTCACATGGTAGGATTTGTAAAGAATTTATTCGTAAATTAGGGTGGAAAATAAGTATTTGGTCACCTCAAACAAGGAAAATCTCTGGCTCTCACAGACCTGTAAGGTCTTCTGTAAGAAGCTTTTCTGTCCCCCACTCGTTACCTGTATGAATGGCACCTCTTTGAACTCATCATCTGTATAAAAGACACCTGTCCACAGCCTCAAACAGTCAGACTCCAAACTCCGCCATGGCCAAGACCAAAGAGCTTTCGAAGGACACCAGGAAAAGTATTGTAGACCTGCACCAGACTGGGAAGAGTGAATCTACAATAGGCAAGCAGCTTGGTGTGAAAAAATCAACTGTGGGAGCAATCATCAGAAAATGGAAGACATACAAGACCACTGATAATCTCCCACGATCTGGGGCTCCACGCAAGATCTCATCCCGTGGGGTCAAAATGATCATGAGAACGGTGAGCAAAGATCCCAGAACCACACGGGGGGACCTGGTGAATGACCTGCAGAGAGCTGGGACCAAAGTAACAAAGGTCACCATCAGTAACACACTACAACGGCAGGGAATCAAATCCCGCAGTGCCAGACGTGTTCCGCTGCTGAAGCCAGTGCATGTCCAGGCCCGTCTGAAGTTTGCCAGAGAGCACATGGATGATACAGCAGAGGATTGGGAGAATGTCATGTGGTCAGATGAAACCAAAGTAGAACTTTTTGGTATAAACTCAACTCGTCGTGTTTGGAGGAAGAAGAATACTGAGTTGCATCCCAAGAACACCATACCTACTGTGAAGCATGGGGGTGGAAACATCATGCTATGGGGCTGTTTTTCTGCCAAGGGGACAGGACGACTGATCCGTGTTAAGGACAGAATGAATGGGGCCATGTATCGTGAGATTTTGAGCCAAAACCTCCTTCCATCAGTGAGAACTTTGAAGATGAAACGAGGCTGGGTCTTCCAACATGACAATGATCCAAAACACACCACCCGGGCAACAAAGGAGTGGCTCCGTAAGAAGCATTTGAAAGTCCTGGAGTGGCCTAGCCAGTCTCCAGACCTCAACCCCATAGAAAATCTGTGGCGGGAGTTGAAAGTCCGTGTTGCTCGGCGACAGCCCCAAAACATCACTGCTCTCGAGAAGATCTGCATGGAGGAATGGGCCAAAATACCAGCTACTGTGTGTGCAAACCTGGTAAAGACCTATAGTAAATGTTTGCCCTCTGTTATTGCCAACAAAGGTTATGTTACAAAGTATTGAGTTGTATTTTTGTTATTGACCAAATACTTATTTTCCACCCTGATTTACGAATAAATTCTTTACAAATCCTACCATGTGGATTCATGGATTTTTTTTTTCACATTCTGTCTCTCACAGTTGAAGTGTACCTCTGGTGCAAATTACTGACCTCTGTCATCATTTTAAGTGGGGGAACTTGCACAATCGGTGGCTGACTAAATACTTTTTTGCCCCACTGTATTTGACTACACACCCACTGCCCAAACACAGCAAAATGACATAAAAATATGACACACAATAGGTGTTTGATGGGGTATCTACACACAGTAACCCTACTACTCACTTCTACATAATCATAAGTGATTAAGTTTAGTTTTGTATTAGTCTGTACATTGTGTTGCTTCTATATGTCTGAATGCAAAATACCAGTATTGCACAATTTTCCTGTGATTGTGATGATGGTGATAACGATAATCATTTGCTTTGTTAGTTCAAAAAAAGCACCAAAAGAACAACTACAAACAATAGTTTTGATCAAGTTTATGTTAAATACAGATCTTTTTACAAAGTCCATGAAGTGTCCTTACAGAGTTTTTTATTTCCCCTTAAAAAAAGGCTAATACCTTTTTGGTACTTAAAAAACAAGGTTATTTGAATCCACTTTAATAGGGCTGAAGCAATGCCGTGAATTGTTATGATGTTAGTTTGGCCAAAGCTTTTCAGCTTGGGGCGATCGTGGCTCAAGAGTTGGGAGTTCGCCTTGTAATCGGAAGGTTGCCGGTTCGAGCCCCGGCTTGGACAGTCTTGGTCGTTGTGTCCTTGGGCAAGACACTTCACCCGTTGCCTACTGGTGGTGGTCAGAGGGCCCGGTGGCGCCAGTGTCCGGCAGCCTCACCTCTGTCAGTGCGCCCCAGGGTGGCTGTGGCTACATTGTAGCTTGCCATCACCTGTGTGTGAATGGGTGGATGACAGGTTGTGTAAAGCGCTTTGGGGTCCTTAGGGACTAGAAAAGCGCTATACAAATACAGGCCATTTACCATTTACCATTTATGTGCACTGGTGAAGGCTAGCACAATGGTACACTTCAAGATGTAAAAAAAAAATAAAATAAAATCCCAATTTACAGCCCAATGATTTTTGAATCCTGTGAATGTTAAAAATGCATGGAGAGTGTTCATGGTACCACTGACACACTTAAACATAAAAGCTGTGTCAATTTGACAAACAAGTGTTTGAAGACCAAACACATAATTTCAGTAGGAAGGATAGAACTTCCCAGGAGTTTAAGGAGTGTAAAAGTAGTAGGTACACAGGAATTGGCACAGAGTTCACAGGGACGGGACCTTGAAATTTAAATGGTGTAGACTGAAAGCTGCTTTCAGACTGAAGTTTTTATTTGTTCTAGGCTTGTATCGGAGCCATACCTTATGCTTAACAACAATGTATTGCACCTGCAAACTTATTCACATTTGCCTTAATGAAGTTATTGACTCACACTCTTAGTCTTGTGGTGACTCACTCTTGAGAGAGATCGTAAACCTAGTCTGGGTTTACTGCACAACTTTCTAAATGGCTAGCAGTGCAGTACTCATCTCCCGAAATGTAGGGGTCTTGAAAAGCTCTCAAGATTAATTGCTACCAAACAATTTGAAGAATCACATCTGCAGGCTGGAGCTTTTTACTTTCTCATAGAGGAATTTGGGCTCTGATCCTCAACTTTGATTTGAAAAGTGACTTTTTTATATTGTATTCAGTGAAGTTTGACATTTTAGATTTTCACCAATGGTGATGATGGTCCAAAATGGTCCAAAAAGCAAATGGTTAAACTAGATCTTCTTAGCAAAAATAAACTTCATATACTATGCTTCATATATTCAATGAACTTCTCACTTCTCGTAATATCACAAAATGTATCTTTTGAAAGAGTTAATGTAACTTTGCTTGTCACTATGCACTATACAATATTAACAATTTAATAATAATTGGTAGTTTCTTAATAAAAAATACAGTGAGTCACAGGAATGTAAGCTAGAGCTAGTTCACATATTTGCCTCCTATTTGACCATATATACAAGACAAATAAGGTGCTTCAAAGAGTCCCAGCCCTATTATGTTAGTTCTGAACTTTGGTGTCAAATGCTTAGCATAAATTGAAAAAGTAATGAATGTGAGGGAATGAAAGGAATGCATTACAAATGATTAAAAAAACAAACAAACAGATGTCTTGCTCAACTCATCCTCTTTGAATCAAGTCTCACGCCCTTTTATGTTTCTCTCTATCTTCCTGCTTCCTGTCTTTGGCTCCACCCCTTCCTGTCCCGTCCTGTACCTGCCTTGCCCTTGCTCCGATAGAGAGATTCACACATGGAGAACTCTGAGCGTGGGGTATTGTATGTTTGCTTCTAGACATGACCACATCCACTCCGCACTGTTCTTCAATGTGATTTTCACCTCAGCATTTAGTAGTTTCCAAATACATCTTGTCACTGTCATTGAATATTAAGTTGCTGAGAATTATTCTTCTCATATTTGACAAACTCATTAGCTATAACACCTACAAAAAATCTCATTAATGATATAATTGAACGTTCCTCCATATATTTCTTGAAAGACTTTCCAGTTGTCCATCTTTCACCTTGAATTGGGATAACCTAAAAATCAGATGTACCTTTTGGGGGAAAACAAACAAACAAACCAAACAAAAAAGCTTGGGATACATGGTGTGTACCTTTCAATATAATAAGTGTGCAGACAGTGTGTAATCACCTTGGTTCTGAATCTTAGTATTGGTGAAAAGGACCATAGAATGTTCTGGCCTAAGCAACATGTAAAGGCATTTGGGGGTCACATATTCGTTTTCTTTCATACAATGAAAATCTAACGCCTAATATTTTAATCACTGTGGTATGCAATTTCCTCTCAGCAGTTTTACCACTGAGACTTAAAACGCCTCTGATTGCCTTTTTACTGCCCGATTTATGCCACTAAATAGATGAAATTTAGATTTTAATGTTACTTTGCAAGTTCCATTGTTAGACATTAGAAGTCATTTAGGCAGTTGTTGGCACCCTACCTGTAATAGTATCATTAGTCTGTATACTTATCTCTCTTCCTTGCTGACTGAAAGTCTAACTTGGGGAATACGTTTTAGCAAAGTTTTAGTAGCAAACTGAAGTGTGAATGGAATTTTTTAATGGCTGCTTTGGCTGTTACTATTAGCTAGGTAGAAAAGTTAAGTTAATCTAACATATTTTGTCACTTTGTCAGTACTTTAATTTATTTAATGTGAACATTTACACATTGTTGCACACCATCTGTCCTTTTTGGTACTTTATTGTCCTGTCAAAAGTGCACATCTAAAACTATTATAATTTCTGAGGACGTTCAATGCATCAAAGTATACTTATCATTTCCTCTGATATGAGATTTATCTGCCCAACACTCTACCAGTCATTTGCTTTGACAAACTGATAAACATTGTTAACTGTTTCATTATTTGCAAGAAATCTGCAGTTAATTTTCCATCAACAGAATTTCAGACAGAGAAAAAAAAATCTTCCCACATTATGGTGCTTTCTACATTGATAGCAGGTTGGTGTAATTAATTATATGTAGGTATAATGCAGTAATGCAGGAATCAAGCCAGCCTGCCCTAAAATTAGCTAAAAAAGTTAAATAATTAATCAAACTTTAGGAGAGAAATTATGTTTTTGGCTTCAACAAAAACATAGGTGGGTGATTAGGATTTGTGGTATGTCTTGCCGAATGAAATGCGATGCTTCACAAATATCTCCACCTACACTGTTCTGGGCTCAAAGACAATCCATTCTGTTACTGTCATGGTAGTTATCTGTTTCTCAAATAAATCCCCTTCCTGCATCTTAAGGTTATATATGGATAACCCTATATACATATAACATAAAATTAAACTATTGATTAGACAACCTGGGTTATATTTAGTGCAGTGCTACAATGACTTTGCAATAAAGTACAGTTTTTTCTTTTTACCTTAGATTAAATATTTCATTTAGTATTCTGGGGGATTGTAAAGTATTTAGAGTCAAAAATTACTTACCAAAGATTTTTTGGCCAAAGACAAGTAGTAGCATATAAAGATTAAATTGCCAGTGGCTTGAACTTGGAATTCTATAACATAGTTCTTCATATATTTAAAGCCGACCCAAATCTGGTAATTTTAGGAAGTTTATTGACATTGATGCAGTGCTAGATGTTAAAGGTTGTGACAGTCCTTGTGGATGGTGCACAGTCACTCAGAGAAAGTAGGAACTTTGCCAAAACTGTTGGTTTATTTTCTTGAAACTTTTAGATTAATCATAATCCTGATTTAGCAGTTGTAATCATTGCGCAAAGAGCAGCAGTTCATTTTTTTTATTAAAAAAATGCAGAAATTAATTAATTTTGTGATTAGTACTGTTGACCTGCAGCAAAGAGTTCTTTGATTTGAAATCTCCTTTCCGTTTGCTTGACCTTTATGCATAGCTGTACAGGTTTTTTTCCCCCATGTTTTCTGGTTTCCTCTGACATTCAAAACATACATATTAAGTTAAGCGGTATGTCCGAATTGGCCTTAGGTGTGGATGTGAGATAGATATAGTGCTAAATGAATGTGTGTGAGGAAAAGAGCTTTTGTATTAATTCCTTTAGAAAATTGTGAGGATGCCAAGATTAACAGTTGTTTGGTAAAAAAAAAAAAAAAACACAATATAAATGATGACTCTCAACTTTGAGACAACAAAAGGACACATCTTCTTTCTAGATTGTATATGACACCCTGGGGTTCTCATCTATAACAAGAGGAATGAGGCGATTAGAAACTGGTGTCAGCCAAGGGAATGGACTCAGGCTGAATCCACTGCAAATGGCAGGCTCTTGTGAAGCCAAGTGGTGTGTGTGTGTGTGTGTTTGTGTCTGTACCCGTGTATGCAAGTGCGTACACACATGCAATACATTGGTGGACTGAAACTCTGTCTCTAAACTAGAAGATGTACAAAAACACACAGAGAAACATTAAGAAGCACACAAATTTGAAAGTACCGAATTCTTTCATGCTAAACTTGGACGTATCAGTAGATAAATTGGAGGTGTTAACACAGACACACTTACACACACATGCACTCACAACAGAGCTGGACTTGACCCCTATTCTGCAGATGTGACACATGGTTGAATAATGGACTCTGCAGCTTGCTGAGATAAATGCTTGATGGTCCACTTACAGCACATTTAAAATTGGTGATGACAAACCATTTACACACTCACACAAATGTACAAACTCATACTGTGTGATCACCACGGATATTCTGTGGCTAATTTACTAGTTGTTTAAATAAGAGAAAAAGAATCAGAGTAGTCGACTGGCCTAAAAGCTGAAAACACATAATCTAATAGACAAGGTTAAACATAGGCCATGCAAATACTGTGTGTGTATTCTACTGCCATATGAAACAGTTATTTGCATTTCTCGATAATCAAATCGTAGTTGGCATAGCATTGCACAGAAAGAATTTCGGTTTAGTTTTCGAGTGTGGGTGATATGAGCAGTGTTTCTATGTTTGTGTGGTCTCATACTGTTTTATGCAACCAAAGCCATAATGATCAAATCTATAGATAAAAACTACAGAACTTGTGTGTGGACATGCAGTCTTTAAAAGGCTTCCTTTTCCACCCTTCATTTGTCAAATAACTTATTTATTTTGACATTTATGCATGCATATGTAAGTACTTTTCTCTTGTCATTTTTTCCACTATGTCTCAGTGTTGTTGTGTGTCCATATGCGTATTCCATCGTAGCGTCCTCCTTCCGTACATGTCAAGTAAGCGGTGTTCTGTCAAACCTCAAATTAACTTGGCTGTAGACGTGAGCACTCTGAAGAGATTTCACTTTCATTGATACCCTGTGTTTCTTAACTTTCTGTCCTTCAAACACGGAATTTACTTTCATAGTCGCATATTAAAAGGTTTAACTAACATGCTTTTACTGCTACACACGGAGACCTTAGGTGTAACTTGTTAACAAAAAGTTCAGATTTTTCCCCATTTCTCATCCAAGCTAGTCTCTTCTCATTCTCTCTCTGCCCCATTTAATCAGTCTCAAACACGGTACCCTGAATAACTTGGTTGAGTGTTTTTTCTACACTATATTAATATTTATGACCAGTTTTAACGACTATGACTTTTACAGCTGGGCTCCCAGTGCTCTGCATTTTATTAATATCATAAGGACAATGTCAGCAGAGCTCTTAAAGAGGGTTATGGGTGTGACTATGTGCACATAGTCACTTGTTCAGCTATCTTAATGAGGACCAGTATTTGTTTATGGCCATTTCAGTGAGGACATTTGGACCTTTTTCCACATTTTTGCAAAGCTCTGCTTAAGGACAGTTCTTTGTTTGGGGAATGACATTAGAATTAGGTGTAGATATTGATTTGTGGTTTGATGTAATACCAGTTTCATCAACATTTGTCTCAGTTGCACTAATGTTTCCACAACAAAGCTATGAAGCGCTGGTTTAAAACAAACTACATTTCTTTTCAAAGGCTCTGGCAGATTTATTCTATCTTCATGTAAAAATATGTGTAAGCATTGAGTAAAACATTATTTTGCCTTACCTCGTTGCCTTACAATAGTGTTGCTGTGTGCACCCAGAACTCAAAAATAACTCTTCTGTTACAAATGATTTTTCATTCCATCTCTGCTGCCTTCGCTATATCTACTATACTTTTTTACTGCCCTTAAATATAGCAAAGTAGCCCTTCCAGGCTGGTAACTGTTATTATATCTGGCTAGCTAACCCATTTTATCCAACCATGCCATTTTATAAATGTGTTATTAGTGTTAGAAATATATTTTTTTCAGGGGGAGGGGTAGGAAGTACTATAGAGTCTCTATGCTTCTCTTGTTAGTCTTTTTTTGTCTTATTTATTTATTTAGTTTATCATTCACATTATTATCAGAAGATGGAAAAACAGAAGCAGAAGGAGAAGAATAGAACAATAAAACAGACAGAATGAGAACAAAAAAAGGGGGCTGGATGAAAAAAGTGAAGGAGTATAAAGTATAGAAGTCATTTACTAAAAACATCAAGCCTGTAAAAAGTTAATACAGTTAATAACATTTCGCTTTTCACATGTATATCAGCCCTACTAACGGCCAGTAACTTCTCTGTCACATGAAAAGCTATAGTAGGTATTTTGTCAGCATTTACAAAATTCATATTATGTAAGTAATTAAGATGGCATATCAGATAGATTGACTGATTGAAGCAGTCTGCAGTAGTTGTGTAAGGTGTGCTCCTCTGTGAAGTGGAATGGAAGTATTGATCCTTCTGAACTGTGCTTGACTTTCCCGTGCTATAACAACTCAG